TTTCCTCCTCCCGTCAGTGTTTTGCTTTTATTAAAAGTGTTCTTAAGCGAGAAAGTGCCCGGACACTTCTTTAAGGATTGTATGCGAAATCTAAACCCAATGAGAAAGAATTTGTACCTTTCTGTGATTAAGGTCTCCAGCGGAGAGCTGCGGGAGACCGCAGCTTCGACTAGCAAACATTTTTTGTTTTCTTAATATTGCTTTCCTTGTATGTAATATTTTCATGCATCCTTTATGTAATCTCCAATTTATAGAGCAATAACCAGATCAAAGCACTTACTGCCTCTTTTGTTAGGGCCTTAAACCGTTCTACCCTAGAAAAAGGCGCTCCAAGTAGTGTTTCTGCGGTAACCTTTCTATTGGCTTCGTTTCTACAGGTTACGAAGAGGCTTTGTGCTGTATTTTCAAAAGAGTATTTGTATTCAAAAGTTCAGTCAGAGACCTCGTTCCGAGGCCTGTGGCTCTTATAAACTAATTGAACTCAAAGATTACTATTGTCTGCTGCACGGTCATTGATGGGTGTAAGTGTGGTCCTTAAGAATGGTTCTTGAAGTGCTGTGGATTCACTGTAACTGCTTTCAACGCGTGCTGCAGAAGACTGAAGGATATGTATTTCGAAATGGGATTTTTGTGCAAGATTTAGCTCTCTCCGATTAGCATTGGCTCAGTATCTGAAGCTCTGGTTGGACAAAAAGGTTTGAAACTGCTTTTCGAAATTGGACTTCTGATTTTTGTTTCATTGCTGCAAAAGAACTAGAAACAAGGGGAGGGGATTTTTTCATGTGATTGCTAAGCGATAGGATTGTACCTGGTTTGCCCCTCCCAGCTGTATGTATTCCAATTGCCACGGCTCTGCCTATCATCGATCGCGTAATTACCATGTTCAGGCCGTATGCCAAAAAAATTATTGATCATTTGTATCATCGATTGTCTGAAGAGTGGAATTGTCCAAAAGAAAGAAACTCGTAAGTAAAAGGAGGAATGGTTCAATTTTAATCTTCCCAATGCAATCAGCGGAGTTCAAGTGAATTGCAAAATCGAATAAACTCGACTTCTGTCGCATTTTATATACAATAGTTGGAGCTTCTTTCCTTATTGCCATGTCGATGATTGTCGGCGTTACTAACTTAGTTCCTTCTAACCATTGAAAGTATGCGGAATACCATACATTTCGCAGTCTACAACATCTATCATCATTCATAGTAAATAAGGGAGCATGCAGTTTAATTGAAACGCGAACATGTGGATGGATTTTTTTCAATATCTAGCCAAACTTCATTTTTTAGACCTCAGTCTCCCAAAATTCTTGAGCAGTGATATACCTGACATCTGTTCAGTTTGGAATAGTGGAGTCAATACCCATTCCTATATGAAATAGTGGCAGGTGATCAATGTTGTCGCTCTATAAATGAAAGAAGACAAGAAATGAAATGTCAAAATCCGCTGTTCGTAATAGTAATTGACTAAAAGAGGGGCGAAACTTCATGGTTCTGCGGAGGTATCGCCGTTAACTTATAAGCACACCTCGCAATT